TGTTTTGATCTTATGTTTGTGTCTGCATAACTGAAGTATATACTATAATGTACATTAAAATCTTTCTTCATGATAAACTTGATACATATATTTTAAACCTAAAAGACTCATCCAAGTTCAGAGCTGTTTTATTTTCCACGTGAATTGAGCTTTTATCAGCATGACCTCCATCTCTAGTAATTTTGCCTTAAAGCCCAGTTTGTATATTAATATAGCTCACTAGCTTTTGTTTAGAATGTGTTTGATTTATTTTTGTCTATCCTTTTGAACATATTAAGTACCATTATACTTATTATAATTAGTAATATTTGGATTTATTTTCAGCCATTCTTTGTGCTTCCTTTTTTTTTTTTCCCAGCCACTTTGTGCTTTCTTTTTTTAATGTTTATTTTTAAGACAGAGAGTGCTAGCAGAAGGGCAGAGCGAGGGAGACACAGAATCCAGAGCAGCCTCCAGGCTATGAGCTATCAGCACAGAGCCCGATGCAGTGCTCGAACTCATGAACCGCGAGATTATAACCTGAGCCAAAGTTGGATGCTTAACCGACTGAGCCACCCAGGCACCCCTTCTTTTTAAAAAAAATTTTAATGTTTATTTATTTTTGAGAGAGAGAGACAGAGCATGAGTGGGGGAAGAGAAGAAAGAGAAGGAGACAGAATCCAAAGCAGGCTTCGGGCTCTGAGCTGTCCCACACAGCCCAATGTGGGGTTCGAACTCAGACTGTGAGATCATGACCTGAGACGAAGTCGGACGCTTAACCGACTATGCCACCCAGGCATCCCTGTACTTTCTATTTATTATACCTTTTCTACTTTTTTCCCCTTTCTTGTCTTTTTTTGAAGTATTTCTTTCTCATTCCATATTTTTTCCTCTACTAGTCTGGAAATAATATATACTTTCTTGTATTTTAGTGTTTAACTTGCAGATTTTAATATGCAAACATTAAAACCTAAAGTTATGATGTTAAATTCTCCCTCAAGGAAACAAGAAATTTAGAACATTCCTTCCTAATTTGTTACTGTTTCTTTTTTCAATTTTAGTTCCATCTTTGTTAATTCCAAAAGACAAAATTGAAGTTATATTTAGTTTCACATGCATATTTCATTTCTTTATTCTTCATTCTTTCTACCATCTCAGATCTTCCTGTTGAAAACTCTTCTCTTTGAACTTCAAACTTCATTATTGAAGGTCTGGTGGCAAACTCACTGAGCTTTGCTTGTGTATGTATTTACTTCATCTTTGTTCTTGACAAAAATGTGTTCTTGACAAAAATGAAGATCCTCATCTTTATTGGGTATAGACATCTAGATTGGAAATTTTTTTCCCCCAGCATACTGAAAATAATCACCACTGTCCTCTGATTTACACTATTATTTTAAGTATTTTTTTTAAGTTTATTTATTTTTGACAGAGAGAGAGAGACAGAGAATGAACCGGGAAGGGGCAGAGAGAGAGGGAGCCACAGAATCTGAAATAGGCTCCAGGCTCTCAGCTGTCAGCAGAACCCGACGCGGGGCTCGAACTCATGGACCATGAGATCGTGACCTGAGCCAAAGTCGGATGTTCAACCGACTGAGCTATCCGGGCGCCCCTGATTTACACTATTATTGATGACTAATTGACTATCACTCTCATAATTAATCCTTTGAAGGTATTTTTTCTCTAGCTTTTAAGATTTTCCGTTTGTTGTCCTGGAGTCCCTGTATGTCTAGAAAGGATTCCTATTTGGGGTCTGCTGGGCATTTTAAATCATGGTCTGGTGACCTTCCTCAGTTCTGGAAAGTTCTCAGCTATTCTCTCTTCAAATGGGTGTTGTTGTTTTTTTGCCCCATTATCTGTCTCATTTTCTTCAGGAGCTTATCAAATATATACTATGCCTTTTCTCTCTATGCAACATGTCACTAACCTCCTTAATATTTTCAATCTCGGGGCGCCTGGGTGGCGCAGTCGGTTAAGCGTCCGACTTCAGCCAGGTCACGACCTCGCGGTCCGTGAGTTCGAGCCCCGCGTCAGGCTCTGGGCTGATGGCTCGGAGCCTGGAGCCTGTTTCCGATTCTGTGTCTCCCTCTCTCTCTGCCCCTCCCCCATTCATGCTCTGTCTCTTTCTGTCCCAAAAATAAATAAATGTTGAAAAAAAAAAATTAAAAAAAAAAAAAATATTTTCAATCTCTGCATCTTTCCTGTCTCCATTTTAGATAATTTCTTCACTTCTGTTTTCCAATACACTAATTCTCTCTACAGCAGTCACACATATTGTTATCTATCAACATTATCAAATTTCATTTTTCAAAATGTCATCCTAAGAGGTGTTATTGTACAACATTTTTGGAATTCTTTAGAAATTACCTCTACTCCATGTATCCTTTACATTTCTTTTTTAGTGCCAAATTCTCTCTCGTCTGGTCTCTATTAAATTCATAATTTTAATTCTTACTTCCTGTGTCACCTCTCCTTGTCTGTACTGAGAAGTCCTTATAAGTGACAGTGGCAATGTACCTAGTAAGCTGATTTAACCCATCCAACTGAGGGTTATGAGAAATTATCTCCTTTAACACAGATGTCATTTTTCTATAAAATTATTTTAAGCCCTATGAAAATCTGGAGCATATTAGTAGATATAGTAAGAATACTAAAAAATTAAAACACTTAACTATTTTCACCTATTACCTTGACACAGAAAAGAATAGCAATGTGCAATGTTGGCCACAGTATGCAGAGACAGGTACTTCCAATGGAGTATTTCAGGCAACAGGAATGAGAATTAATAAAATCTTCACAGAGGGCAATTTGATAATAGGTATCCAAAATCTTCATAACCTTTGACTCATTCTAGGGAATTATCATGAGGACATAAATCTAAAAATTTTATTTATACAGGTTTTATTTAAATAAATGAAAAATTTTAAATAATGCTTTAGAAATATATTAACATAATTCACAATATACTATGAAAAAAAGCAGGCAACAAAATGACTCCATGTTTATATTAAAATAAACATATACAGGGGCACCTGGATGGCTCAGTTGGAAGAACATGTGACTCTTGATCTCGAGGTCATGTTTGAGCCCCACGTTGAGATTACTTAAACAAATAAATAAAACCTTTTAAAATAGGTAGATAACCATATACAAAGAAAAAATTCCTTGGCTAGCCATTCAATCTCTGCAATTATAACTGCTGTTTAGCTTCTTTTTGCTCATTTATTGCCTAGGTCTTCTAGAATGAGTATATGTCAACTGCAAATTAAACAGTGTTGAATTATTTTAAGTACCAGAATACCTAACTACTTTTAAAAAAAATGTCTGTATGGGACACTATTGTGTACATTCAAACATAACTATCAGTAATATATTCCTCATTCTAATAGCACTGGCAATGGGAACTCCTTCATAATTCGTTCTACCCGTCAACTGAACCTAAAATCCCACTTCCAGAGAGTAGAAACAGCTATTTCTGAAAGCCTGACAGAATAGGTAGGGGGGGTGGGAAGAAAGAAGTTGGGGTATGGAGAAGAAAGGAACCAAATGTTTATGAGGAACAGATTCTTGGTATTTTAGGAGGAGCTTTAGGAATAGGGCTTGGATGGAAAGAGGAGTGGGGAAAGGCAGTTCCGTGAATAAACTTCAGCAATAGTTTCTCCTCTCTTCCCTGTATTCAGGTGCACACTCATTGCTATAGGTTCCACCCAAATGCTGTTAGTAAAAACCCTCAGAGATCCTAGCATCAAGCATAATTAGGAAGAAGCACCCACATCAGTGAAATGGAATACGGTGTGCCTCCTCACCATGAGATTTCAGAGTCTGCTACTTTTCTCCTTTGTTAGCGTATTTTAAGTTTTTCTTTAGCAAAAGATTTTGCTTTGTTAAGCTATCATCTTTCGGCTTCACTAGCATGACAAACTGATCCTCCAACCATAGGTCCTTTAACATACCATTTCCTCTATCTGAAATGCGTCTCTGCCCTCCCCCATCTTATCTTGGCTAGTTCATCTTCTACTCATTTTTCTGTTCTTGGTCAAATGTTATTTCTTCCAGAAACCTCAAACACCCTAGTATACAACAGGTTCCCTCAAGCTTTTATCCAATTTATAAATATATATTATGAATTATTTAGTATGGTCATTAATATGTAGTTGAACTAGTATGTCCCAAGCGTAATACAAGTGGTCCCATTAGCTGCTTTTGCTCACCACCGCAATTTCTGCATCTGGAACATAGCAAGTGCTCAACAAATATTTGCTGAATGAGAGAATGAATAAATAAGCAGCTAAGCAAATGACTAGGAATCCAGAGGCCTTGATCGGGTAAGAGTTAAATTAACTATGTCCTCTCAGGGTAGAACTGTGGGTCAAGTTTTTCCTTTGTTCCTTGTTGAACTCGTTTGTGTACTCACCGAAGTTTTAAAAACACCTGTTATTTTGAAAATTCCCCAAAACCCAAAGCAAACTGAGGCCAAACATGAAATATTTACTCTGCCAGAAAAAAGGCTGGATACCCTTAACAGAAGCATCCAGTCTAGCCTGGGGACTTCACAAATGCCCCACATCATAAGGCACCACTCGGCTGCCTCGTCGTAGTATCTATCCTCCCGGAGCCAAGGAACGTACCCTTGTCCCCTCAGGGCAAGTCAGGCGCAGAGTTCGTGGAACCTGCAGGCTCCCTACCCTCGTCAGAAGCTTCGAGAAGAAAAATGCAAGGCCGAATGACAGGGAACCAAGGAGCCTTTACCGCACACGTTATCTGCCAGGCACGTACTGCGTACCGGAGAACGGGGCTCTGGCCGGGCTCTAGCCCACCGCGCCGAGTCCCGAGGAGCACACAGGCGTCCTGGGCCTGCCCACCTCCAAGGGCTGGGCGGAGACCTCCAACAGCCACAGGGCACTTCACAAAGTGCCGGGGGAAGGGGCCTGCGGGCCGGTGACCCCGAACCCCCGGCCCCCGCAAACGGGAGGCAGAAGCAGGCGGAGGCCGGCACCCGCCCTCCGAGGGGCCTCGCTTACCCGTCGGGGGAGTACTCGAGGTTGAAGACCGCGCCGTGGGTACGGGTGCTGAGGTACACCGAGTCCGCGGGATGGATGGAACCATAGAGATTAGTCATGGTGCGGAAATTGTCCCGCGCCGGGTCCACGAACAGCCCGCGGCCCAGACTGCGTTCTCTCAGCCACCCGAACAGCCGGGCACCGAGGCCGTGGCGGCCCCGGCCCCCCGCCCTGCAGTCGGGCCCGGGTCGCCGGCGCGCTGGGGAGGGCGGTGACGGCTCTCCCTGGGTGGAAGCTGCAGAGGAGTCCAGAGCTGCGTGAGGCTCGAGCTCCCCGGCGTGTGCGGCCGGGGGCAGCGAGGGGACGCCGGGACGGCGAGGGCTCCGGGAGGGCGACGGGGGAGGGGCTGCGTCAGCCTCGGGCTGCGGCGGCGCGGGCGGGGAAGGGAGCGGCCCCGCTGCCGTTGCCTGCCCTGCATGGGATGCCGGCTCCTCAGTCCCGGTTCCGGCCGTCCCATCCCCTCCCGGACTACCGGGCCCGAAGGTAAACATGACCAACGCGCCCGCCCCCCCCACTCCCGGGCCGCTGCACCGCCGCCCGACACCTCACCGATCCCACCGCCACTTCCGGCGTGCGACGGCCTAACCCAGCCGGCTGGGAAACACGTGCTGCTCCTGGCCATCATCCGTTGGGGACCGCGAAAGTGGGGACACAGCCCACGGCGGGTGTTTTAGCCCCGAACGGACGGTGGTTGGGAACAACTAGCTGTGTTTGAGCGCAAATGAGGATGCCCAGGATCCTAGCTATATGGGGCAGTGTTAGCATCAGGGTACCGCGTGCGACAGAGTCAATCTGTAGTTGTCAATCATCGTGACCAGGGATGACTGGGCCTAAATGGCCAAAGGGGTGGACTATGATGATGTACTTTTATCCTCACTTTATGATAAGGTCACAAGGGGAAGAAATTACCATATTGTGTGCAGGTCCCACATACTGAGTCGCATGGCATACTGCCTACTCGGGCTCAGAGTAAGTACTCAGGTTCACTATTGGCGCTAAAAGCCCAGGTCCTGGAAAACAGGGGCCTGTAAAAGGGGGCCTACTGGTGCCCTGATATCTGCCTTACTCCCAGCTACTGCCCAGTAGGTCAGGAGTTTATCAAGACCAATGTCTTCCTCTCCTCAGGAAGGAGCGTATATCCAGCAAGAGTCACTGAATGGAGCTGGAGACCTGAATCAAATCAACCTGACAAGCAACAGAGCCTATGGTCAATCCTGCTTACATGTGCCAGGGCACAGACAGCATTACAGATGCAAGACCCTTCACCATTGCTGTTAAAGATCAATATATACTACTCCTTTGTAAAAAAGAGTTAACAGGAACTGCAGTATTTCTTCAGGAGGGAAGGAGAGTTCAAGAAAAGAAAGCTTGAGGTACAAGGAAAGGTAGATAAAAGAACTGACAACTCTTCTAGGTACTGACAATTCTTGATTGAGAGCTGTGTTGTACAAAGCACACATTTGATGACTGAGGATAAACCTGGAGGATCTTTGTAGGAAGAGCTATCTGTGAGGATAGATCTGAAGGATCTCCAGTATAGGGGAATGAGATCTGGAGAGCTGAACATTCAGCAAGTCCTCCAACCAGGAAAGTTAGTAGTTATTCGGCTCTCCTGTCCATGAGGTGATTGAAAACAGGGCAAGAAGCAAGCGTTTTGAGTTCAGAGATCATAGCAGCCATTCCTCTGGAGATACTCTCCATGTTGCCCACACAGAGCAGAAGGGGTAGGTAAAGGTCTATTTTGTGATTAATAAATTATGTCCCTTAATGACCCCCAACATTTGGCTGCAACAAATAACAGAGGCCCTCTGCTTGACCCCTAAGTTATGGTCAATGGCTAAAATTTTACGGTCTACAAAACACTGACCATTTACCAATATTATTAATTTTTTTAATAGGTAAAATAGGACAGTTTTAAAAGGTTACATATTCCAAGGTATTTAAGATACAGTTCCAACAGAAAAATATAAGCTCTGCAATGAAATTTTGTGCTGCCTCAAGATAATCAGATTTCACAGTTCAGGTAAATCAGAATTAACACACTATAGTCCCAAAACTGATTAAGAAATGTTCACTAACAATTTAGAGAATCTAGAGAAGCCAAATGAGAAGAAAATATTTTGTAGGTTTGCATGTTATCTCTGTTAGATAATGAGAATGATTCTTGAGAAGATAGCCAAAAAAGGCAACGGTGGCTATAACACACAGAACAAGTCATTCAGTAATGCCAGGGTTTGCTTTTTTCCTTTTCTTTCTTATGCTTCTTCTTAAAATGGGAGTCCTCACTTATCCCAAATAATTTTTACTAAAACCTAAAATAAGAATAAATTACATAAGGACTACAATTCTGTTGAGATGACCATGATTTTACAACTCATCAGTAGAAAAAAAAAAATTACTGGAAGTTACCTGAGAAGGTACTAAAGAAGTTAACTGAGAAGCTACTAAAGATAGATTAACTGTGCCTGTCCTGTTTACCCACTGCCTTTGAGAGCCTTTAAATACAACCATGTCATGTTAACAAGGAAAATGACTGCAAATCAGTCTATACAGACCAATTTCTATTGGTCTAGACACTATTTTCAAGTGCTAAAAAATTTTCAACTCCAACTGCTCAACTTCACAGATACCAGTTCATCAGAAATGCCTAAAGCATCCTATGAACTTCTTTCCCCTGATGTTCCTTTTAGATCACAACACAAGGAAACAACTGGCAAAGGTTTCCAAAGGTTTCCGAAATTAACAAACGTTTCCTCTATGCCCAGGTATCACACACCCCTGGACACCCCCAACACTTAGGCTCTATCTCATTAAGCAGGCCGGGAGCAAATTCATTTACTTTCTTCCCTATCCACTGACTAGATGTTTTTAAAAAATTACTTCCTAAGGGATGTGTTATAATGCAATGTGCCTGAAATATGGATCTTTCTGTTTAAGCTGTTATACTTTTGGAGCATCAAGTTCACTCCTGATGTCTTTGACATCATTGGTTCTGCCCATAAGATAGAATTATTTGTTGGGGGCAAGACTGACAAAATGAGCAAGGCAACTGGACATGGCAAAAAAAAAAAAAGCTGAAATGGAAGCTATATCCCAGGCATCTTCTCGATTGAAGCCTCGTACCTCAAGCATTTTGAAATGGTCATCTGTTATATCATCAGCTTGGGAAATAGCAAGTGCAAACTCCAGCATTGCCTTTTCCCGAGCAGGGAGATCAGACTTTCTCCAGTTCACACAGACGTGCAAGAAAATACACAGAAGCAGAATCTCTGTTCATCCCAGTATAGCCAATAAAACAAAGGGCCTAACAAAATGAAAAAAATCCTAGGTTAGAGTAAAGGGACAAAGTCAGGCCAAAATAAACTTTCCAGTTAAACTTGATCAAGTCCAGCGGAATGCAGACCTGAAACTCTGGCTCAGCACCACCTCTGCCAAGAAGTCTTCTTTGCTCATTCCAACTACAAGCACCTCCTCTTTCTCCTCTAAACACTATGGCATCAAAAATCTCAGAACCAAGACTCAGAGACTCTGAGTACATAAGGACCCCAAATCCCAACTTTTTCATATGAGTAAAGTGAAGCTCAGATAATTATCCCTTTGTCTCCAATTAATCCCAAACAAGATGCAATATTTGCAAAATTAATAGCCGACACTTAGCAATTACTATGTGCTAAGAATGTGCTCAGTGCTTCATATTATCTTATTTCTTCTTCTTTTTTACTGTTTATTTTTGAGAGAGAAACAAAGTGTGAGCAGGGGAGGGGCAGAGAGAGAGGGAGACACAGAATCCAAAGCAGGCTCCAAGCTCTGAGCTGTCAGCAGAGCCCAACTATGAGATCACGACCTGAGCCAAAGTTGGATACTTAACTGACCGATTCACCCAGGCACCCCAATATTATCTTACTTCTTATAAAAATCCTAGGAAGTAGTATTTTTATTATCGTCCCATTTTATTGGCAAAGAAACTAAAGTTCAGAGAGGTAAATTGACTTCCCCAAGGTCACACAGTTGGAAAGTGGCAGAACTAGGATCTGACCCCAAGTGTATTTGATTCCAAAAATTATACTTATAATCATTACCCTTTCTCAGGCAAAACACTGAAAACTACTAAACACCTGAAAATAGAAGAATAATGCAGCAAACCATGGTGTGACAGCATACTTTATGGACACTAGGGAAGCAATGCCTAGAGAATGATCTTGAAAGAACAAGAGTCTGGCAACTAGGCAGGAGGCTCTCAGCAGGGCAAAGGGAAGAGGATGTACCTGTCCTGAAGTTATCTTCAGGATGGCAACAAAGGCCCTTCAAGAACAGTTTGCAAGGTGGGATCAGGAGGGTATGTTGGGGGGTAGGAAGACTGATGACCTTCAACCTGAAGAATAAATACAGAGAACAGATGTTTCTGTTTCCCAGCACAGAGGATCAGGAGTTTCACTATAGGGATCAGTAGGACTTTGTAAGCTTGGTTTACAAAAAACCCATGTTTGCTGTGCCTCTACCCTTGGTCCATTTCTCTGGGAAGAATTAGCATGATCTCTGATACCCAAAGGGCCTGACTTTGGATGAAAGAGATAGTAAGCTGTTGGCTGGGGGATTGAGACCAATTTCACAACCAGTCTTGGTGGGAAAGAGAAGATGGAGGCAGTTCTAGAAATGAAAGGCAGACAGGCGTAGGCTTGGGCCAGAAGCAAGAAATAAATGAAAATGTAAGAAGCTGTTTTGGACCCATTAGGAATAATTAGTGGCTAGACTAAATTCACACTGGCAAATGCAAACAGTATCATGTAGCAGAAAGAGCTCAAGCTTTGAAAATGGACTCTGCCATATTCTAGTTGCGTGCCCCATATTGTTACAGCTCTGAACCTCAAGGATAAAATGGTTATAATAAGGGTCAACTTTGAGGGGGAGCTGTGTGCATTTGAGAGAATGTATGCCATGTATCCAGGACCAGGTCTGGCACAAAGTTGGGGCACAGCTAACCCCTAGTCCCAAACGTCATGCATACACAGGAGCAGATGGGCACAGTGATGGGACTGGAAGGGAACTCAAGCAACGAGAAGAGCTGGGAGGCGGGGGGGGGGGGGGGGGGG